CATATGATATAACAATCAATCTTTAATGTGTGTGTTACAATATTTTAATGAATTATTAATTTTAAAAACATATTTTTGAACTAACAGCCGTAGTTGGGTAATTTTCACAAGGGTATGATTTAGTCAGTAAATATCCAGGAGTTTTGAATGGAAGTTTTTATTTTGTCCAGTAAGAAGGCTTCTTGCATCCCATGATTACTCATTTCTTTCTTGATGCCAATCTAACCTTGTCACCATGCTGCACTAATCATACACTGCTTAGTCAATGGATTGAATAACTCCAGGAAGCAAGATGAACTTACTTTATCCATCAACACATTCCCTCAGGATTTTCCCTTTACATCTTATATGCTTTTCATATAGTGTGTATTTCTATGATAAACTTGGATGTGAGCAGATTATTTTATAGCTGAGTGATAACCATGGTTCAACGTTTTAACACATGACGATTTGAAGCAGGAATTGATTAAAATTAAACTATGAGAAAACTCAGAGAACCTAATTAACTGTCGAAGGAAAAAAAATAAAAATAAAATAATTAGAAACCATAAAATGAGTTTGGAGAAGGCACATGGAAGATATGAACCTGAAAAAAAAAAAAACAAGTAGAATTCATTAAGATTTAGTAAGACTAGATCTTGACCAGCCTACCCAATTACCGGTGGTGGGATATGCAATATGACATGGTCTTCTGGAATTTCCCCAATTCCAAAGTAGAATTCACTCCATGTTTATTTAAAATATTATCAACCCAACAAATGTTTATATTCCAAGTCCACTGTTAGGGGCTTTTGGGTAGGAATTCATCTCACAAGAGGCTATTTATTTGGGAGACAAAGAAAGGTCATGATATAAAAAAAATGCCAGAAGTTTGTGAAATTCTTATATAAACCAGCCAATACTCAGACTGGGTAGAGACACAGAGAGAGGGACCAGGTGAGACAAGACCGGGCTGTCTGGGTGTAATATTTTCTCCTCCCAGTTGCTGTTCTGATGTATCTCCATTTATTTTGAATTATGGCTAGAATAATTTTCCTACTGAAAGACTGTCAACCAGCTAGATAGAAAGATTAATAATTCTTTATTCCTTATATACTTTGAAATTCAATTTATCATTAAACCCATTGTTAGATGTCAACAGAATTTGTTTATGAAATTAGTTTTTAGTAAAGAAATTACCACAGTTATGAGGATTTTACACCTGAAGTCTCCTTAGAATCACATCTAGTGAGCAAAATCTCTGTAGAATCTAGTTACCTCCCACGATGTGATGACTGAGGAGATAAAAAAAAAACACCAAGTGATAATGCCAGGAACATTACATTTTTAGTTTTGCCATGGCAGTGAGGATTTTACACCAGAAATCTTTGCAGAATCACAATGACCATTGGGCGAAATCCACATAGCATATAGTTTTCCTTTAGCATACTGATTGTAAGCATGCAATGGCTGTGAAGAAAGAAAAAAAACAAAAAAAAAAAACAAAAAAAAAAAACAATTCCTTAGTTCATCGAACTCTGACCATCCCAGATAAAATCCACCATGCCACATACATTGAGGCAAATCATTCTCATTTCCTTAGCAAGGAATAAGTTTCATGCTCATTGTTTTTTTTTCCCAAAGAACTGTTGCTTTGTGGAACAGAATCCCAGGAGTCTGGAGTTATCTTTCACACATATCCTCATAAACTGGGCTCCCTACTCTTACAGCTCACATAGCAACTGTCTTCAATAACCTTGAGTGACCCTTGAAACTTATATTGTGAACATTAAAAAAAAAAAAAAAAAAAAAAAACGAAAAGAAAATGAACAACACTAGTGGCAACTGTCTATCCAGCAGGGGTATTATAATTTGACCATGAGAAACAGATTACTTCAATTTATGAATTTTCCAGTATCTGTCTATATTTCTGAGATGAGGTATTATGTACATTATTTGGACTATTGTCCTCATCTTTGTCGCCGTATTTATTACAATGTTTCAGCCATTGTACACTCCGGTCTTCTTAACTCTTTATTTCACTCACTGGGGTAGACTGTTCTAGTTCCAGGTGCCATGTTTATTAATTTCCCTCTGAAAGTTCTCCACTGCCTTAACCGGGTATTGAACTCACACTCTTTGGGTCCTGTCACTGGATCTAACCAACCCCTTTATCCACTGTGCCTTGAGGACATCTGTGTATGAAATTCTGGGTATTATAAACCCAATGTCTTCAGCAACCATTTTTACCAGTGCTCAAATTGCAACTTTTTTTTTATTTTTTTTTTTTATTATCATTTTCTCTGGCATTCCTTATTACTGGTTCCCATATTGTATTCATTTCTATGTTTGGTCGGCTCAGGAGATTTTTGTGGCCTAGCATATGTGCTGATTCCTTAAATTTACAAATTTTCCAATTCATACACGTGGAACTAGAACAGTCTACCCCAGTGAGTGAAATAAAGGGTTAAGTTCGACATTCCAACCACCTGAAGAAGGCCGGAGCATACAACGGCTGAAATGTAATAAATATGGCGACAAAAATGAGGACAATAGTCCGAATAATGTAAATAATATTTAACTGTTTCATACTTGGTGCACTTGCCTTTTCCTCTACACATGCTCTGCTAATTTTAACTTTTAAGAGTCATCAGATACTATGTTTTTTCGAATTTCCAACAAGTTTTATATTTACTAGATGACTGATTGTAACTATTAGGTTGAGTCCTAAGTAATTTCCATCTTTGGGAACCAATTGTAATGATGAATGCATTCTAACTTCTCCTTAAATATATCTTAGCAAATGATGTAAAATGACTTATATGTGACAATATTCAATGAAAAACACAGTGGAGTGACAAGGATAAATTTCCATAAACAGCTCCAAAAGTTGAGCCCCATGGAAGAAAGGTAGTATTTTGCATATAATGGGATTGGAGTATTATTGATTTAGAGCTCTTAAAATGCAATGAAACGTTAAATGCACATTTATACATCTAACAGCTGTGACATGTCCATAAAATTTTTATGGAGCAAAAAATATCACTTGTCAATTTCAAAAATGTTTTAATGACAACCAAATCCAAGACTTTTGTTAAAAACTTTGATATATTTTGAGTAAAATTAAACAGGTTTTAATGTGAAAAAGAGTTCCCTGATAAGTGTCAAGTCATTACAAATAATGGTGAATATATAATTGAATAAAATGTAATCGTACTTTATTTTTTTAACAATAAATTTGATAAAACAAAAAAAAAAAAAGGAATTTATTTATGACTCAATTGTAAACACATGAATATATAGTTCTTAATCATATTTGTGAAGCAGCCATACAGAGGAGCACTTCTTCAGAAAAGTCTTGATAATATCAGGACAAAGGTAGGTATAGCACTTAATTATTTTTATATTCCAAGTCTGTGCATCTGCTGTTACATATGTCAGAATAATTTATTAGCAGTGTATTTTCTTATATAGATACTTTCATATTATTATAAATGAGTTTTTCTTATTGCTGTATGTAACATTTCTTTTTAAAAATCTAGACAGGTAATGAGAATCAAGATTTTAGATACAATCCAATATGTGTCCATTTGGAAAATGTGGATGTCTTGAATCTACCCTCTGTACAAGTTACCATAACATTCAGGAAGGAAAATTCATGGTCTTCTACACAATAAATTATATTGATGATCTTATGGAATTCATATAATCTGGCAGCATTGATACATATTCATTGTATGGCCTAATATGAAAGTATTATCTACACAGCATGTGTCAGTAAATGCTTAGTCTCAAGTAGTTATTTTGAAAGTCATCCCCTCAAAATATTCAATATAGATGTTTCAAATCACAAGTGATAATAGTCCCATAGACAGGTTCTTGTGTGATTATGTATTAAGTGTGTAAAAAAAAAAAAAAAAAAAAATCCAAATGCTTTTTAATTTATTAAGCACTGAATACACAATTGAAAACAGTTTTTTCTCCAAAAACTTTTGCAAACATTTAAAAAGATCTAATGGTAAGTACGTTGTCTTGCACACTGAATGTCACCATTTCTATTGTGTTGTCCACAGATGGGCCAGACAATACTTCATAATATCTAGGCCAAATATTTGCATGTAATGAAAAAGTTCATTTGATTATTTTGACAAAATAGATTTGTTCAATTGTGACAATATAACCACTGGATGAAATAAAGGATTCAAAAACTTCCTGAAGGTTACAAGATGTGACTAAATTTTTATGAAACATTATTAGTTATGATTTTTGGATCCCTTAACTAGGAATTTATTTTATGTTCAACTTTGCACTTTTATGAAAGCTAAACAGTATCAGTTTATTAGTATTTTTATGACTGTCTTCTCTCCTTTATTATACAATTTACTCAAAATTAGTTTATCAGATAATAATTAACCCAAATGTTATAATTCTAATTAAATACTAATTACTATTATTTAAATATAAAACAATAGTCTAAATTTGAGGTTTGATTCCCATAAAAAAATTTTTTTAAATAGTAAGACAAAAATTAAAAACAATTAAGTATAATGAATTGTCAATAAGTAAAAACAGACCATAATGATTAAGAATATTCAAGATTTTGGGTGATGATAAAAAAGTTAAAATAAAAATGTAGCCCAAACATGCATGAATAATGAAAATGTATGTCTTTTTCTTCTCAGTATAAACTATTTTTTTTCTTCTATAAAAAAATGATATTTCAGTATTTGGAATAGCAGCCAATAAATATAAAAAGGATAACTTAAGATATAAAAAAGCTTTCATAATATTCCAATATGAATTTCATGCATCCACACAAAAGCATATATAAAAACCTCTCTTCATGTTGAAGAACATTTCATAAATTTTCAAGAATTATTTAAAATGTCTTTATTTTATTTTAAGAAAATTTTTTGTAAATGATAAAATTTTTTTCCTTTTTAAAAAAAAAAAAAAAAAAATGGAGAGATATATAAGCAAATAGAGTCTATCCAAAAAAAAAAAACTATAATGAAACTTACCTGTATAGCTCCCGTATTTTTATTTGAACAGGTATCGAACAAACTCTGGAGACCAAACCTAATGCTCTCTGGAGTAGTTCTTGTTTACGCCCACTTTTACTTTTTCCAGCAAAACCAAGTAAGACTTGAAGCTCCGACACACGGAAGCTCATAATCATGTGCTGAAAAGAAAAGACAATTGCTTAATCTAATGATAAAAAATAATTTTTTGTGAATGAATTCAACTATTAGGTAAAGTATTCACATTAATATAAGTATCCCAACCTGTCTTAGTGTGAACTGGTGAAATTTCCTTCCATTTCAATTGATAATATATCTTATTTTTTAAGCTATTTTGCTAAAATTAGTATGTAAACAAAGTTTAATCTATCCTCCTTCTAAAGATACACTTCTTTTTCATGTGTGATGATTAGTTTTTATTCCATGTCTTTTAAATTGTTTCCATTCCAAGAACAGAGTAATTTTCCATATTCTTAAAGTTGACAATTTCATAGTGTGTTGTTTTTCAAATTAGTTGCACTCAGTTGTGCCCATCTACATATGTAAAAATACTCCCATCTTAAAAAAAAAAAAAAAAAGCTTTTAAGTTGTTTTTCACAAACCGTTTCTAAGTTGAAAACTTTAGTGCATGAATACCAGAAAAATTCAACATTTGAGAAGAGAAAAAAAACATACCTCCTTGTAGAACAAAGTCTCATCTTTAATAATCAGTTGGTTTCATATATCTGTGCCCAAAAAAGAATGGCATATTGCATTCATTTCATGCAAAACAGTCAGGTCCAACGCATCAAAATTTGTATTGCCAATTGAATAATCAACAGCTGAATCCCATTTTAAATCATTTGTTTCATTGATGGATATTTTTCTTTAATGATGCATTTTAAAACTGTATAAAGCAATTATTTATTTTTAAAATAAATGAGTGAGCAGTTTGGACAAAATGAATATTTTATTTTGTACAAACTATCAGCTTTGTATGCTGCTGCCTCAGCTATTAAAAAAAATTAACTGAAATATAATAATAAAAAATAAACTGGGAATATTTTAGTTCTTTAATTTTTGCTCATTCACATTTGTCTATGAAAAATTAAAATAGAACTTTTAATGGTCATTTATAATATATTGCTATGAATTTACTGAAGAAAACCATAAAATGCATTTTGAATAATTTAAATGTCTCTTTTGATGTTAAATTTTGTTTTCAGCCGAAAGGTAACTCATAAAAAAAAAATAAATAAAAAAAAGTTTTTTTTTTTAAAGGTCTTAATTTTTAAAGACATTTTTAAAGCATTGATACAGTAACTCACAAAATATCCATTCTTCACAGCTATTTAAAAGCCTTGTTTTATCATATAGGAAAATCCAACATGGTGTGTAAACGAAATATTCAGTGAATAATCTCATTCGTCAGTAACATTTTAAACACCTCATAGAATGTAAAGTTCTTAAAGCAAACCTATGCCAAACTGTTTTCCTGAATCCTTGATGACTTGGCTGTCTGAAAATGACAACATCAAGATGAAATAATGGAAACTGACCGTGAAAAAAAAAGAAAAAAAAAGAAAGAGCAACAAGTTTTCGATCAATCAGTAAACTTCTGGACCGTTTCAGGCAACGTTATAGGATCCTGATGGCAATTGTTTGGACATGGAATTATTCACTGGTAATTAATCTTTGATTTGGCTGTGGTAAATGTCACTCAGTGGTTAGCATTAAGAAATTATGCTCAATTTTCTGAGAAAAATCACCATTTTTTTTTTATGAAAAAATATATATTTTCACTTCAAAATAATATCATTCAAACTTCATGCTTTTCTCTTTCATTTGGTGTGAATATAAGGAACGGCTAAATGGCCTGGCAATGGGAAATATGAAAGATATGCGGTGAAAAAAAAACAATCTTGTCTGCTAAGTATTGTTGTCATTGCCTGGGTCACGGGGTGTTAAAAACAAAACACATCAAGCAATTGTTCAAACATAGGTTGTATCAAGCCCTACTAATGTTGACTTTTTTTTTTTTTTTTTCACTCTTTGCTCTTATCTGGGAATGGTGCATTTTATTACAACTTGTTTATTGCTGGCTAGCTGATCTTTGACCCAGAGATGTCAAAGTCAATTTGGTTTAATTTTCCTTATTGCTGCTATTTTTTGGAAAAAAAAAAAAAACTTTTGGTTTCTGGTGGTCAGGAATTGCAGATAAATCTTTCGCCTTTTACTAAAGATTTCCATGGCCGGGTGTCAATTTTTTTTAACCCCTGGCAGTCAGATAATTGAAAATTACCAATTGACGTTGTTGCATTTTGACTCTCAATTTAATGCCTGAAATAGTTTGATTATGATTTAGGCTGACTTTCAAAAAAAATTTTTGTTTAGAACTAGAAAAAATGCAAAATTTTTTTTTTTCACATTTTACCTCCTGAAAAATTTTTTTGAGTCATTTACAGCCAATTTTACTTTTAAATGAAAGAATATATCCTTTGCTTTCAGAAAATACCTAGTTTCATGTGGTTCAGATCAAAAGTTTCCTTGATGTTAGTTTAGATGATGATAAAACAGTCATTTTTCAATATTTTGCCCCTATAAAAGTATGAAAATCCATTTTTTGAGAGAAAATAAACTGTGACAAAATGACTTGCCATTTTTGTGATGATTTTTACTTGGGATAGAAAATTTTTACCATAGCAAACCTGAATTGATTTTATTTAAGTTCAGTGGGGCTATAGGAAACCTCAAACAGTTGTGTCTTGTCAACAAATGAAAATAAATTTAAAAATCCAATGTCTGTCTACCCCCCACCCACCCAGGAAATTAGTAAAATTAACAAATAACTGACTATATTTTGTAAACATAATACTTATTTCTTGTTTAAAACCTAGTGAAAATAATGTTTATTTACACCTGGTAACCTGTGATAACTAAATTCGCCTTCTAATGTTAACACTTGAAAATGGTATTAAATTTAACATTTTTCAATTCTTAAAACATATCTTCATTTAATAGAAAAATCCCTTATTGGAGAAATTAAGAATTATAATGAAAAATTACAAATACATTTCTTTAAAATTAGATATTCAATGTAGATTTTTTATGCCAAATATGAAAGAAAATATTTTAAATTATTCAAGTAGCAGCTCTTAACAAAAATGTTTTCTGCGTTTTACCAAGTTATTTTTTTTAGTAAGGCTCAGGACAAACTTTCAGTATCTTCACGGTTGAATTTGAATATATATTTTTTTTTTACTCAAGTAACATCTTCAGGGTTTTCTCTTAGGTAAGTGTAAAAAAGTTTTTCAAACACTCAAAATTCAAAATTTAAATGTGTTAACAATATTTGAAAGTTAAGGTGGAACTGAAAAAAAAAAAAAAAAAAAAAAAAAGATAACATGTATCATTTTACCGTTGATCAACCTTCAAACATACTCAAGTGCAACCAGACTAGACATTGGCTGAAAGCAAAATCAGCAACTGAGCAGTAATCAGTTCTTGGCATTTCAAGAAAGCATGTGAAACATCTGCAACAAAGGCACAGGCAACAAGAAGTACTTTTGAAACTTCATACACAAGAAAAGATTGCTAAAAATGAGACACAAAAGAAAAAAAAAAAAAAAGTGTCAAACTGCTGGAAAATCATTAACTTCATCATCAAGCATGATGGTCCTTAGATCAAGATCAATACCAGTGGAAGTAAATCTCAACTGGAAGCTACTTTTTGCAACTACTTGGCAGAAAAGTCATTTGAATTCATATCCACCTCTAATATAAAGAAAAGATTGAGCATTTAAATGACTAGCAGTTGTGATGAAGAACTATCTCAGGTGACCTTCAGTTATGAGCACCAAAACCAATGGGTTGCAGTATATTATGATTCCAACTTTTTACATTGGCCAAGTCATTGATATTGCATCTCCAGTGATGTGATAAAGTTTTTAGCTCCAACAAAGAGCAGAAATGATTATTCCTGATGATCAGATGATATTGAACAAGTGGAATCAACATTTGTCTTCAGATAGAAGCTGTCATTACATCAAAGATGTAATGCCAGCTTCAAGTGATGGTTGGATATGGAGTGTTCTACAAATATTTCAGTTGACAAATCTCCATTAGGAAATCAAATGCAGGAGAACCATTCATAATGTCCAGAAAGTCTTTAATATCAGTTTAAAGCACTATTATAAAGTTGTTTTCCCTTTTGTAAAACAAATTTCTAAGTTTTATATTCATAACACTCCTATTTTCCACCAGTTGAAAATGACAATTTCACAAGATTTTCCAAAATAGGATACATATGTTACAAGAAAAACAAAAAAGGATTGATATTATTTTTTGTTGAATTCCTGAAACTAAAATTAGTAAAGTTTCAGACATGTACCTCCCAATGGACACTTTTTTTTATGGCAAGTTCACTATGGTAATTTTGATCTGTTTTTGTCCCCTATTGTCAAATTGTGCCTCTGTTTTTATATGGTGTAAATATAGGTTTTTCTTATGGAGGTACTACTGAAAAAGAACAAATTTTGCTTCATCTCCGTTGTGCTATATAGTATAGGAAGAATTTGCTATTGTTGAAATGAAACACATGATCAGTCTAACTTTCCCTTCTGTGTCAAATTTTGATTTTTGGAACAAAATTTTGCAAATGTTTAGGCTGGCCTGGTTAAGAATTATTGATTCTACTAGCATTATACATCAAACTACCTATATGACATATTGTTATATAGGAATACAGTGTTGCCAACACTGGAGTTTGAATATAGATCGCCAGTGAGCAAACACAGGCAATCCCATTATTGAATTAAGTAGATCACATGACCATAGCAGAAACACATATATGGGAATTAGTTATGGGTATCTCTACACTATTTACTATACTATATCACTATTCAGTGGTTACTTTTCGAGCAAATACTATTAGTGCGAGTGTTATTCAAAGGCATCTCACACCAGTATTGTTCAACTGCGTTACTATAGTTGTATCTGTGATTACAAAGTCTCTACTACAACGAGCATTACGAAAGTGACAAAGCGTAATCATTGACATTACAAAAGTGGCAATGAGTGTTCGTAAGGATTCACAAGGATTTGTTCAGCAGAGTACGACAGAATGGAAGAATTAAAAGCTATCAGGTTTCAAATCTTGGTGCTACAAAAGAACAAGAACAAC